GGAGGGTAATTGAACATAGGAGGGTAATTGAACATAGGTTAAGACGTATTACAAAGATTTCTCATAATCAAATTGGTTTTATGCCAGGCAGGCCTACCATGGAAGCTATACATTTATTGAGAGGTTTGATGAAGAAGTTCAGAGATAATAAGGAGGATCTACATTTGATTTTTATTGATTTAGAAAAATCTTACGATAAGGTTCCAAGAGATATCCTTTGGAGTGTTTTTAAGAAAAAAGGTGTTGATATGACTAATATTCAAGTCATTAAAGATATGTATATTAGAGTTGTCTAGAGTTGTTACTTGTGTTCAAACTGAAGGAGGATTGAGCAAATATTTTCATATTTCTGTTGGTTTACATCAGGGATAGAGCAAATATTTTCCTATTTTTGTTGGTTTACATCAGGGATCAGTTTTAGGCCCATATCTTTTTGCTTTAGTTATGGATGGGCTTATTGGACGGTTTACGGGGGGTGCTGATGATATCCTTCTCGTGAATAAAACGAGAGAAAAAGCCCATGAAAAACTTGAATTATGGAGGTCTACATTGGATCCTAAAGGCCTTCATTTGAGTAAAACTAAAACTAAATATATGGAAAGTAATTTTTTGTAGTAGTAGCTCTAGTGATAGAAGTGTAATTTTGGGTGATCAAATTATTAAAAGGTATAAACGAATTAGATATCTCAGGTTTGTTATTCAAAGCGATGACGATATAGATGGGGATGTTATAGTAGAATTCAAGTTGAATGGAGGAATGTTTCAGGCCTTTTGTGTGATAGAAAAGTATCGCTTAGACTGAAAGAAAAATTTTATAAGAGTGCGGTGAGACCTGCAATGCTCTATGGCGTTGAATGTTGGCCTTTAAAAGAGAAGCACAATAACATTAGATTCTAAAGGCCTTCATTTGAGTAAAACTAAAACTAAATATATGAAAAGTAATTTTTTGTAGTAGTAGCTCTAATGATAGAAGTGTAATTTTGGGCGATCAAATTATTAAAAGGTATAAACGAATTAGATATCTCAGGTTTGTTATTTAAAGCGATGACGATATAGATGGGGATGTTATAGTAGAATTCAAGTTGAATGGAGGAATGTTTCAGGCCTTTTGTGTGATAGAAAAGTATCGCTTAGACTGAAAGAAAAATTTTATAAGAGTGCGGTGAGACCTGCAATGCTCTATGGCGTTGAATGTTGGCCTTTAAAAGAGAAGCACAATACTAACTTAAGTGTTGCCGAGATGAGAATGATTAGGTGGATGAGTGGCTTTACACTTAGAGACAAAATGTGAAATGAATATATCCGTGATAGAGTTGGTGTAGCTCCAGTGACGGACAAAATTTTTTGTCACATTAAACGTCGACCATCCGATGATCCGATTAAGAGAGTAGATGTTTCAGATTTGACTTACGTTAAGAAAGGCAGAGGTAGACATAGGAAGACTTGGCCTTATTGTATAAAAAATTATCTTAATTTATTAGAACTAAATGAAAGTATGACACTAAATAGGACACAAATGGAGAAAAAGGATTCATGTAGTCGACCCCATGTAGTGGGATTAAGGCTTTATTATTGTTGTTGTTGTTGTTGTTGTATGTAGGTATTCTTTTGTGGATATTCATTTCATTATATCTCGATCTGATCCTGTTTGACCGTACACTCTTGACCTATCGCACGTGGTTTACTTCACATAAGCTCTCCATTATTCTTTTTAAATTTTTCTGCCTAGTTTTCATCTTACTGCCCTCTTTTTTGCTCCCTCCTCTTCTCTGAATCGTTCCAATGATTCAAGTAAGAAAGCTCTTTGGGAAAGGGAATCTTAAGACGATGATTAGACAGGACAACTTCAAAATTAAAAAGAACAAAAAACAAGCCATTGGTCCAATCTTATCCCTTTGGCAGCTAGAAGGTTTATTGCAAACTTTGACATCACTATCATAGTCAATCAAATTTGCCAATAAATGCATGAGTCCCATCAAACACTATCAACTCTTTAAAGAAAAAATTTACACCAGTCGATCACCTCGACTTACAAGAGGAATCTTTCACTCTTCGTTGTTCTCTCTCTTCTCCTCTCTCTATTTTTCTCTCTTCACCGAGATACACCGAAGAAAACTCTACACCGAGATACACCGAAGAAGACAAACTTACAAGCGAAATAAACCAAATTTCTCTTCTGCCACAAGCCACCAAGAAGAAACCTAGGGAGAACAATCTTCCTTCTTCTTCCTTCTTCTCAATCCCGAGGAAACCTAAAGAAGAAAATCGTGACTTCTTGTGTCATCCAATTATGAAGGAGAGCTGCCCTTTTATAACGAAGAGAAAGGAGCGAATGGATGCTTCTCTTCGCGAAATAGAGGAGGCAGGAACGATTTCTGGCGAAGGGATGCTTCTCTTCGCAAAAAAGAAAGGAGGGAGTGGTTATTTGTGAAGAGATGTGACCCTTCGCGATCGAAAGCGTCGTTTTGAGAAAACAAAAGGAGAGGCGAGAGCAGGAGTTCGCGGGTTGGGTGGACCGGACTCCACGCCAGCGCTAACACAGAGAATTCAACCCGTTTATTATTCGGGTCGGGTTCGGGTTGAATCTAAAAACCAAAACATGACCTGAATAAGTAAGAAATTTCGGGTCGGGTTCGAGTTAGTGGGCCAAGCTCAAGTTCGGGGCTTAGTTTTTGACCCATTTATTATTTGAATCGA